AAAATAACAGAAAGAGTGATCATATCATTTCTCTTTTATTCAAGTACAGATGTAGAGAATCTATAAGATTGGCTTATTGCAACATATGAATAAGAATAATACCCAAAATACTCTCTATATTTTGCTTAAATACTATTTTTACCCTCCTATTATGCAAATTCCAAAACAATCCTTTTGTTTATAAAGTCATACTAAAAAATACTCCTTATATTTATAAAATCATATTCAAAATACCCCCTGAAACAATTTTTTTTAATACTAAGATTATCCTTCCAACCTATATTAAATACGATTTAAAATGTTACTAAACCAAAATATTAACTAAAATCAATATTAAAAAATGGAAACTCTCGAAAATAATAGAAGTATTTGTTTGATTGAAATATTTATTTGAATATTTTTATTTAACTTTTTAGTTAAATCGTGTTTAAAATAACATTAAATATAAAATGAGAATGGTGATATTTTTATTTAACTTTTTAGTTAAATCGTGTTTAAAATAACATTAAATATAGAATGAGAATGGTAATCTTGATATTTTCACAAATTTAATTGCTTCAAGAGTATTATGAGTCTGAATTTAATACACATATAGTATTTTAAGCATTTGTATAATAAAAATGATAAAAATGATATTTAAGCGAAACAGAGGGAATGTTTTGAGTATTTTTTCACTTTCACAAATTTAATTGCTTCAAGAGTATTATGAGTCTGAATTTAATACACATATAGTATTTTAAGCATTTGTATAATAAAAATGATATTTAAGCGAAACAGAGGGAGTGTTTTGAGTATTTTTTTCACATGACTACACAAAAACACAGACCTGTATATGGGAATCTAACACCATAGTGGACTTTGATTTTATACTGCATGAATATACCTCTTTGCACAGCAGGGTTGGTCAAAATCATCAAAATAACTTGAACTTCTGGCTTTTTTCTAGCAAAAAAAAAAAAAATTTTACTTTTTGTTTTTTTTTTAAAAAAAAAAAAAAAAAAAAAAAAAAAAAAAAAAATTGCTGAAAAAAAAAAGGTTGTGGCTGCTACCTGTATCTTTGTCTCCTTTAATTACTCCCACTTTCGGCTTGGAAATTAATCGGACTAGTGGTCCTGCTCCTTGAATTATTGTGGTCCTCCCTGTAATGAAAATATAAAAAGCTCTACATAATCAAATTCAATTATACACATACATATAAATATATAAAAACATATAAAATTTATAATAATATATAAATATACACACATATACATTTTTTGCAATAAAAAATTTGATCTATAAAATTGATTATTATTATTATTTGCAATTTTCTAAAGCAGAGCTGGTGGGGGAAAAGAGGGTGCTGTTTTTCTGGGATCAGATCATAAGGAACATAATAAGGTAAAGTTGGGAGGTCCCTACAGCTTTGTGGACGCTCAAAATCAGGATCTTCATATTTTGTCCACATTAATTGTCACCCACTACCGTCACGGCTGTATGTAATTAATTTTTTTAAAATTAAAAAAAGAATTTCAGACCAAAATATTTTTTGGGATAAACTTTAGATGAGTATAATTATGTTCAAAAGTAGGATTCACCGGATTTGTGACATGTGAAGATCCCCAGCTTTTGCGGCTAGTGGCCTTTCTTGCCCTTGTATACAAATTCTTCTTTCATTTTCATCCCTTTATTTTATCTTTATCTTTTTTCCTTTCCGTGAAATAATACTTTTATTAGGGTCAAGAATCAAATAATAATAATTTATTCAATACAAAAGGAAGAAAGAAAAAAAGGACTTTCCTTTTAGCATTTTTTCGGCTCATATTCAAACTCATCTATGTTTTATTAGAGAAAACAACCACCTTTTGACTCCCAATTCCCACACATTAATCTTTGTAAAAAGTTAAGGTTGTCTTTACAATGATTCCAAATATGAAATATACTACCATCCATTGTTTACATATTAGATTTGTATGAATAGTTCACCTTATAAGAAACTTAAATTATTAGTACACGCGAATTTCGGTTTCACTTTTATGTCACTAATTAAATAGGTGTGATATAATAACCTTTACTTAACTTAAAAAGAAAAGAGATGGTAAACCTCAGTAAATAGTAAGGATTATATTCTTGGACACATTGTACAAAATTATGCAAAATTGTCATACGTGCAAAAAAAAAAAAAAAAAATGAAAAAAATATTATATAGCCCGACGGGATTGTAGCCCCATCAAACACAAACAGATCCACCAATAGGACCCACGTACGTTGTATTTGTGGGTCCACCAATACGTGTCATGAGGCCACGGTCCTATCAGGATCAATAGTAATGCTCATAAAACTATGGTATCGTTCAGTTCATGAATTTGAGTTAATATGTGATTTTATATAAGAGTTTTTTATTATAGTAAAAAAATTAGATGTGACTTTTTATGAGAACTTTTAACTATAGTAAAATTAGAATTAAACACTCGAATTGGTGAAATAAATGAGTCTTAAAATAAGCATATGTAATTTGCATGGACTTGAACTATTTCTCAATGCTAAGGCTCATGAATCTACATAATTTGTTAGAAAAAGATTTCTCCGAAGAACTAAATCGTTTAGACAAACGTATCTATGTTTAGATCTTATGATTAATCGTGTTCAACCATGAAAATAAAATAATAATAAAAAACATAAGATTTCCCAATACTTGATCATCAAGTGGTTCCCACATCAGCAATCATACAAACCGGTTTCTCTTGAATTCCAAACAAACGAGGATTAAAATTACAAGCTAAGAAAGATTTCAGTTATACGCCTTAAAATTAATTACTTTTATATTTCAAGATGGTACTAATTATTTTCTGTACATAATACTGCAAGAACAAGTAAAACTACTTGTTTGTAAAATAAAAGATATAAATGAAATTTGATATGTGTTAATAAATTGACTTAAACTTTACACCACTCTGATAGAGTACTCAATAATAGATGGTGGCTTACTTATTAAGAACAAAAGGAAAATAGTAGATGGCGTAACTTATTTATTTTAGTGAAATAAACCAGATAGAAAATTTTTCTTTTTCCCTTAATGCATACTAAAAAAATTACTTGTTTTTTCAGTAATATTCATGGAGATTATTGCAATTAAACTATTAGTAATAGCTATTGTTATATGGTGTAAAATATTTCATCCATAACTAGTATTGTATAAACAAAAAAAAAAAAAAAAAACTTGTTTTTTCATTAACATAAGGTTGAGAGTTTAAAAATTTTAAGAGGACAAAATTATAATTTTAGATCAGTGAAAGAAATTTGAGCATCATAATTCGGTTATAGTTTAATCCTAATGTCTTTACCTAAGAATTTTATAAGTTCAATTCATGAAAAGAGAAGCATGCACATACACATGAGATAGGACATCATTATTTCATTTTCACAATGCAAAAGCCCAAATGCGAATTTGGGAGGAATCTGAGGTGAATTTGGACGGAATTTGATAAATACACAAAAAAACACACACATATATATAACTACATATTTACCCATATATTATAAAAACCGAATGCGGTGGGAATCTTGTCTACGTAGAGCATAACAGACCATTATACATCAATAATCATAATAAATCAAATGTATTAAATTTAGTTTAAGGGAACGTTTATGGTATCAAGAGAAGATTCCCCGAAATCCATAACTTATGGCCCGTTTAGTTTACTAAACTCTACTCTTACACAACAAATTTGAGTTTCCACTAATGCACTCTCTCACAAAATATGAGTTCAAAATCAAAATAACTGATTAAGCATGAGCTAAACAAGTTATAATGTATTTTGTAATGAAACTTGTAAATTTTGAATGTAAGTATTAAATAAATTACTATAAAAATTTGAAAATTTTAAAGAAAACATGATAATTTATGTATTTTAACCATATACTTGCGAGCTAAACTGTAGAAGTTACAGTAGATTGTGAACTTGCACGGTGTGATTTCAGATGAGTTTGGAATTAATTTCAGATTATTTTTAAAAACGTTTTTGTATGTCTTTTGAGACAAGAAAATGAAAACGATTTATAAATATTGTTTGTTTAACAAATGTTTTAAAAATGTAAACGAAAACAAAAATAATAAGAATAATTTTTTAAAATAATTAAAAAACAGTTAAAATTATTTTCTCTTCTTTGTTTTCATTTTATAGTATTTATTAATAATAATATAATATATTAATTAATAATTATAACTAAACACGATTTTATTTTTTTATTGTACTCAAAATAATATTTTAAAAAATTAATCAAATGTAATTTTAAAATTAATTTTAAAAAAATTTAAAAATAATCTCATCTTTATTTTTATATTTAAAATAAAATTATTTTAAAAATATTACCAAACGAGCAATGTGTTTAACTATTCCTTAATTCTCTTTTAAACAAAAAAGAAAAAAGAGTGACTGCTCTGCTTTGCTGGTTTGCTTGGGGTTGGGTTGAGTCTATTTCATGTCGGCTTCTACATTCACACAATTAATTAATTATCATAGAATTATAGAATATAGAAATAGAGAAAGAAAAAAAGAGAAAAAGAAAAAAAGTTGTCTGAGCTTGGCAAGTCGACCTCTGATTTCTCGGCGACAAGTCAGTCCTCTTCCCACCTTGATCCCTTCGACAACTCGCTGTTCACGAATCCACAAAACCCACAAACCAAAAAAACCATTAAACAAAGAAAAACAATTCCTCTTTGTTGTTTCTATTTCTGTTTCTGTTCATTTTTCCATTTTTGGTCTTTCATTCGTCTTTCTGGGTTTCCGAATTCCGATTCTTCTCGCTCGGGGACGGCTTCTTTCTGTTCGTTTTTGGTCTTTTCGGAAGTGGGTTTCGATTGGAAAATGGAATCCACTCTGCGAAAGATTCTAATTCTCTTCTTTGTTGGCTCTAATGTTTCGGTTCAAAAGTTGTGATTTTTTTTTCTCTTTTTTGTCTTCTTTTGGGTTGATGGGAAAAGTTCCATTACGGCAATTTGAAGGAACTGAGAAGTGTAAGTGACTTCTTAGCTGTGGTGGTTGTAAATTCTCGAGAATCTGAGCTCGAAAAAGAAAAGTTCCGAGAAAAAGTCGATGATTCTAGAATTTGTAGTGGAGATATAGCTGAAGATGGCTATTTGAATAAGTGGGTACTCGAGTTTTTAAGAAATGGTTAGAAGTTAAAACATCGAAAAAAAGTGTCTTTATGTTAAAAGAATTTGTTGGTACCACAGAGCTAAGTGATTGGTTTTTCTTTATAAGAGTTTGAGAATCGAATTTTTGTCAGCAATGAAGGCTCCTCCAAATGGGTTTTTGGCAACTTCTGGAGAAGGTGAGGATTTTCTCAAAAATTTACTGTTTCATTTCTTTTGAGTATTCTCAAGTCTTGACATTTGTATTTCAACTGGTTATAAGAGTTTTGATTGAGAAATCCCAGTCTCATTGATATGTGGGTTCATTTTCTCCTGGATGTAAAAGATAACGGGCACTGGGAAAGTCTTGGGTTATTTTTCAAATTCATGATTTCTATTATTTTCTCTCTCCTTTTTCTTGTTTTCTTTTCTTTCTGTTTTTTTTTTTTTTTTTTTTTTTTTTTTTTTTTTTTTTTTTTCAGGTTTTTTAACGGCTGGCCTCATATTTTCTTCTATTGCTGTATTTAGATTTTTGCTGATGCTTGAATCCTTATCATGTTGTTTTTTGCTCTTTGTTTCAGCTTGTTTGAAACATTAGAAGGTACTATTCTAAAATAATCAGGAAAATTTGAAAGTGAAACAAGAAACATATGTAAACCAATCACTCGGGAAGACTTTTGCGCAGAAGGGATCTTGGTTCTTGTAATTTTGTTAAACCAATTAGTTAGTTTTCCAATGCCTGAAATTGGAAATTATGTTTTCGTTTGGTAATTTCCTTGTTGTTTACGCATAGAATAAATGGGGACTTGACATCAGTTATTGTATCTTCACATGAAAGGTTATATTTGGTTTTGGAAACAGGAGAGAGGAAGAACATCAATTCGGAGTTATGGCACGCTTGTGCCGGTCCACTGGTTTCTTTGCCTCCGGTTGGAAGCCTTGTGGTTTACTTCCCTCAAGGCCACAGTGAACAAGTACGTTGTTTCTCAAATTTAAGCAGACATTTTTTTTTTTTATGCTGGTTTATAAACTTGTCATTGTTTTTTAAAACTTATTAAATCTTGCAGGTTGCAGCTTCAATGCAGAAGGAGGCTGATTTCATACCTAACTACCCCAACCTCCCTTCAAAGTTGATTTGCATGCTTCACAATGTCACATTGCATGTACGGGAATTATGCACTGCCATTTTTAGCTTAAATTCTTATTCTTATGAAGATAAGGTGTTATCTTGTTGAATGAACTATCATTGACTCTAGCAAAATGAACTGTTGTTGATCTGTACCAGTTGATTATCATTGTACCCACCTTTTAGAATGCCTGTGTGTGCGCGCGTGCGCGCCACCTTTTCTTCACCGTGTCTGAGTCATATAATTGGTCAGTTTCATGGATTTATACTGAGCCAACTTATGGCTAGTTTACTTGAATGGTACATTTTTCTGGGCTTTCTTGGCTCTCTCACCCATAGTCAGTATAGTGGCTAGTGGCCAGGGATGTCGTTGAACGATAGTTAATGAATACTCTTAGTAATGTTTGGAGGTGGATTATTTATTCATTTACGCAAAATGCATTGTTGTGCATCAGGCTGACACAGAGACAGATGAGGTTTATGCACAAATGACACTCCAGCCAGTAAATAAAGTAGGTCAGCCATTCATTTTGAAAGTTAAGCAATGCATAGCTCAGAAAACACTGTATTTTTCACATGAATCATGTGGTCTTACAGAATATTTAAACTGTCATTTCTACAGCATGACAGGGATGCATTACTCGCGTCTGACATGGGACTCAAGCAAAACAGGCAACCTTCCGAGTTCTTCTGCAAAACTCTCACAGCAAGTGACACGAGTACCCATGGTGGATTTTCCGTACCTCGACGTGCGGCTGAGAAGATCTTTCCACCTCTGGTATGTTCCATAATTTAAGTTAATTTCAATTTCAAATTGACTATGTGTAGTTCATATTGTATAACCCTTTCCTTCGGTCACTGACTTGAAATGTTCCGTAGGATTTCACAATGCAACCACCTGCTCAGGAACTAGTTGCTCGAGATTTGCATGATAATTCATGGACATTCAGGCATATCTATCGTGGTATTTGCTCGCTTTGATGTGTATTTTCTCCTGCTTCTCTCTCCTTTTTTTCAGATTTTGGGAGATATTCTATTTCTATGGTTTTGCAGCAAAGTGAAGAGAACTATGTATTAGATGTCTTATAATATGTTGGAAACGGTATTTAATACAGATATTCATTTCAGGCCAACCAAAGAGGCATCTGCTGACTACGGGTTGGAGTGTCTTTGTTAGCACCAAAAGACTTTTTGCTGGAGATTCTGTTCTTTTTATAAGGTATGAACTACTAAGCATATATCCAATAAACTAAAACTTTTAGCTAGGCATAATATTTTTTTTCGACAAAGGTTGAAACAACTTTTTACTTGTAGGGATGAAAAATCCCAGCTTCTCTTGGGTATAAGGCGTGCTACTAGACAACAGCCAGCCCTGTCTTCATCAGTCATTTCCAGTGATAGCATGCATATTGGAATTCTTGCCGCCGCAGCTCATGCAGCTGCAAATAACAGCCCATTTACTATATTTTACAACCCAAGGTACCGCTGATGGTTTTGATGCATTATGGCCAGTTGGTATGTCCCTTGCAGGATATTATTCTGAAAGAAAATTTGTTTGAATTTAATAGGGCAAGCCCTTCTGAGTTTGTTATACCCTTAGCAAAGTACAATAAAGCAATGTATACCCAAGTTTCGCTTGGCATGCGATTCCGGATGATGTTTGAGACTGAGGAGTCTGGAGTACGTAGATACATGGGTACTATCACTGGTATAAGTGATTTGGATCCTCTTCGATGGAAAAATTCGCAATGGAGAAATCTTCAGGTACATTGAATTCATTTATATGATTCCTCTATCCAAAAAAAAAATAAAGGAAAAGAAAACATTTGTATGGTTCATGGAAATGGGTCGCCTAGTTGATATTATGCATTCCAATGTGCAATTCACAAGTTCTTAATGTTTTAACATATTCACTTTTTCAGAGAGGGAGAGAGCATGTTTTACCATACAAGTTTTGGTTTTCTTATGGTGATCCTTCTTTGAAAGGCCCATCAAGTGCATATCCTACTAAATAAGTTTAATTCAAACTGCCTTTGTTAAAGTCCATATCCCATATTATTTTATTGTGTTTTGACAATTTTGCTTTTGATAGGTTGGATGGGATGAATCAACAGCCGGTGAACGTCCTAGCAGAGTTTCGATTTGGGAAATTGAACCTGTTGTAACTCCTTTCTACATATGTCCACCTCCATTTTTCAGACCCAAGTTTCTCAAACAACCAGGGATGCCAGGTATACCAAGTCCCAAATTTAAGCAACATTATCTAAGAAGTCTCATATCTCCAAAATATAGGCACTTTCAAGTAAATTTTGAAGATGGCATTTTTGCTTATGCCCAGAGGCAGGAGTACTATTTGTCCTTGATACTGATGTATGATGAGAAACGGATTTTGCAGATGATGAATCTGAAATAGAGAATGCTTTCAAGAGAGCCATGCCTTGGCTTGGAGACGACTTTGGCATGAAGGATCCTGCAAGCTCAATTTTTCCTGGTTTGAGTTTGGTGCAATGGATGAACATGCAACAAAATAATCAGTTTTCAGCTTCGCAGTCCGGGTTTTTCCCATCGATGGTTTCTCCAACTGCCCTGCACAATAACCTCGGTGCTGATGATCCATCCAAGTTACTGAATTTCCAATCCCCTGTGATGTCTGTGCCTAGTGCTCATTTGAACAAGGCAACTCCTTCAAACCAAGTCAATCAAGTGCAACAGCCAAATGTGGCATGGCCCCAACAACAACAGTTGCATCAATTGTTGCAGAATCCCACGAACCAACAACAGCAGAGTTGCTCCCAACAGCAGCAGCTGCAGCAATTATTACAGACAACTCCTCCGAACCAACAGCTGCAGAATCACCAGCAACAGCAGCAGCAGCTGCCACAACAGTTACAGCGGCCTCAGCAGCAACCGCACCAGGAGCCGCCACAGCTGCAACAGAATCAGCAACTTCAGCAGCAACAACCACAACCACCACAACACCAGCAACAACAGCAACAACAGCAACAACAGCAGCAAATATGTCAACCTCCTTTAGTAAATAATGGTATGGTTGTGCCAAATCAGATCCCAAGTCAAAATTTGCAGCAACCAGTCATGTTTTCACAGCAGCAATTACTTGCAGGGAATACCCAATCCCAGCAAAGTATACACTCTAGCAAGAATTCAATTCAGTTGACCTCATTGCCGATGGACTCACAGTTTCAGCAACAAATGGAGATGCAGCCGAGTCTCTTACAGAAGCAGCAGCAGCAGCAGGCAGTGCACTTGCAGCAAAACCCGCTGCAGTTTTTGCAGCAGAACCTGTCTCAGGGTGCACAGCCTCAGCCACAATCACAACAATCGTCACACCAGGGACTTTCAGAACAACATCTTCGGTTGCAGCTGTTACAAAAATTTCAGCAGCAGCAGCAGCAACAACAACAGCAATTGTTCTCTCCACCAAGTTCACTTTTGCAGTCTCAACTGCTGCAGCAACAAGAAGGAAACCATCAGCAATTACAATCTTCGCCACTCTCGCAACATCAACAGCCACTGAACAGCAATAGCTTCTCAACAGAGAAGCTTCTGAACTCCCACAACTTCTCAACTTCAGCATTGACACATTCACAACACGTACCCACCAGCCAACCGCAGAGCCAGCACAAGCCGCTCATCACAATCAGAGCCAGCTCTGGTCTTACAGATGGAGACGCTCCATCATGTTCAACCTCCCCTTCCACTAACAACTGTCAGATCTCCCCGTTAAACATGTTGAACAGAAACCAGCAAGGGCCAGCCATGTTTGTTGGGGATGCAGTGATGGAGCCTCCCAGTAATTTGGTTCAAGATCTTCAGGGCAAGTCCGATATTCGGATCAAACATGAGTTGCCCAGCTCAAAAGGACCAGACCACCTTAAATACAAAGGAACTATAACTGATCAGTTGGAAGCATCTTCTTCTGGGACATCATATATTGATGCTAGCACAATCCAGCAGAGCTTCCCTCTCCCCGCCTTCTGTTTGGATGGCGATGCCCAATCAAATCCTCGGAACAATCTTTCTTTTGCAGCCAACATTGATGGTTTGGCACCAGACACCATGTTGTCCAGAGGATATGACTCTCAGAAAGATCTTCAAAACTTGCTAGCTAATTGCGGCGGTGCTCCAAGAGATATCGAGACCGAGTTGTCCACTGCTGCAATCAGCTCTCAGTCATTCGGGGTGCCAAACATACCTTTCAAACCCGGTTGCTCAAGTGATGTCGCCCTCAACGATGCTGGGGTTTTGGGAAATGGACTGTGGGCTAACCAAACTCAAAGAATTAGAACATATACAAAGGTATGTGGCTGTTTCTTAGCATCTTTCCTTGTTCCATAGTGTACCTTTTGAATGATGGTACATAATCATCCTTTTCTATTCCTTCATACCTCTACAGGTTCAAAAGCGCGGTTCTGTGGGAAGATGTATTGATGTTACCCGCTATAAGGGGTATGACGAGCTCAGGCATGATTTGGCACGCATGTTTGGGATTGAAGGGCAACTAGAAGATCCACAGAGGACTGACTGGAAGCTCGTCTACGTAGACCATGAAAACGACATACTTCTTGTTGGCGACGATCCGTGGCAGTAAGTGGAGAACTGCACCACATTTTATAGCAGCGACTGATCTTTTTTCTCTATTAAGTAATTCATCTAAGAAATTGTTCATGGAATTTCCTTTCAGGGAGTTTGTGAGCTGTGTTCAGAGCATAAAGATACTATCATCTGCTGAGGTACAGCAAATGAGCTTGGATGGAGATCTGGGTCAAGTCCCAGTTCCAAACCAAGCTTGTAGTGGAACTGACAGTGGAAATGCATGGAGAGGACAGTATGATGATAATTCAGCTGCCTCATTTAACCGTTAAGGATTTAATATGAGCCATTTGTCTTCTCACAGTTTGGCATCTTGCGGTGAAAGACATGGACAAAGAGCCCTTCATACAAGGCACGTATATAGCATCAGAGGACATCGTCCTGAGTACGCAATATTCGTTCCACCGGCGATGATTCAAGTTCCATTCGCTACGTCGGTAACATAGCTGGGGCAATTGCATACCGGTTGAAATGCATGCAAACGTCTCCTGTTGCCATGCTGCGCCAACCAAAAAAAAAAATTGAAAATTTGGAACTTTCGCATATGCACGGCGGGAAGTGGCATTGCACAACCCGAGACTGATTTGCACAACCCCTTTCTCTATTTGTAAATGCTGTGATTGGAAACAATCACGGGTCTAATATGCAGTAGATGTAGGAACCACTATTTTGTTATATATGGCACATTTTTTTGCCTTATCTTGGATGTTTCCATGTTGGTTGATATCAAATCCTTGTCCGATTGGAGAAAATTCCCGTTGTAACAATACAATTTTTATGTGACAGAGATGCAATAACGACTTTAATTTTTGTTGTTAAAAGAACAGAAATAGTAGAAAATAGACCAATATGAAAAGTTTAAGAAAATATATAGATTAATTTTTAATTATAGAAATTAATAGGTTATAACTTGTCAAGTTATGGTTCATAACTAGATAAATTATGAACAAATTTATCAAGTTATAATTCATAGTCAGACAAATTATGGACAAAAACCGTGAATAACTTATTAAGTTATAATTCATAACTAAATAAGTTATAGACGAAAACAATAATTTAACCTATTTATTAATTTATGTAAATTATTGACATATTAATTTTAATTCATCTCAAGTCTTACTTATTTCTCTCTTTCTCCCATAAAAGAATACCACATGCTAAATCGGGCCTCTAATTGTTTCAATGCACAAAACAACCCTCCTAGGCAGTTTATTTGAGAATCGTGTGTTATTTTCTGAGGTTGGAAAATAGATGGGTTAAACTTTTAACATTGTAATCTTGCAAGTATTTTCTCGAATTAGACAAAAACTTATCCTCAAACTAACCGGTCTAAAACTATAATGCAATTTGGTATTCTGCAAACCTGACACCAAAATTTGTAATGCCATAAGGTACTCTGCAAATTCAAAGCAGGCAAGCATAGCACTCCCAAGAGGAAAAAAACGTCAAAAACTCAACCATTATACCAAAAAGGATCTATATTTCAGATACATTTGAAACAATAAGCCTTGAACAAAATCCGCCACAAAATTCAGACTAAAGATTGAGCACATCTATCAGGCAACTACGAGAGTACGGCCATAACATCCGAAGCCCTCAAAGCTATGTAGTCAGAGCCATCTTTACCCTTGAAGTCGTTCCCTGCGTACTTAGAGTACATAACTGTGCTTCCTGCAGTGACGGTTAATGGTTTCTTGTTCCCTTCCTCATCTAGAGGACCAGGTCCAACTGCAATTACCTGTCAAAAGAACAACAATAGTTATGATAAATGTCACAAGCCATACTTGATAACAATATGATCCATAATTCTATTCCATGCTAGATGGGATAAAAAAGCTATCCGGAACTCACCGTGCCAATCGAGGGTTTCTCCTTGCTTGCCTCAGTCAGCAGCAGGCCACCTGCTGTCTTCTCCTCGGCCTCAGCAACCTGTGACATAGTCAGAAGGTACCAAAGTTGATAGACGCACCAGACTTCAAAGCTAATGTTCACAATCATGGGGCGGAGCAAACATTACACGCCAAGAAAATATTAACTGCACCTCACTAGACAAATAATGTTGCAGAAAAGATACCCACTTCAAGCAAGAAACAAGTGAAGTGAAAACTAATCTAGAACCATGCACAACCATCTCCAACGTGTACAACATACGTACGTTAAAGATTACTCCTCTAGGGATTAGAAAATCATAAAAAGCCTTATCTTTATGCCTCCATGGGAATAATCGACTCCTATCATTAATTTATGCTTGAGTTTAGCAACGAGATGACAAACCTTGATTAATACTCTATCATTAAGGGGCTTGAGATCCTTGACATCATCTGTTTCAAGAATACCAACGATGTCATCGTACTTCAATATAAGATGCTTTGCGCCATTAAACTCCAGCTCTGTTCCAGCATACTTGGAATAAACAACTTGGGCACCAGTCTACATATGAAAAAAACACACAATAAGATATTTTGAATTTTGATAATAGGCAACTAATCACAGTCTCAACAATTTATGAGGACCCACAAAAAAAAAAAAAAAAATCACCTTTACAGTGATATCCACTTTAGTTTTCCCAACTGTCTTGCCCTCTCCAACAGCAACCACCTCACCTCCTTGAGGCTTTGTTTGAGCTGTGGTTGGAAGCAATATCCCACCCTCAGTCTTCTCTTCCGCAGATTTGATCTTCAGGAGAACTCTGTCACCCAAAGGCTTGATGGAAGTGTACTGATAATTGGAAACGATTATTACCATGTCAGAATTCAGATACCCAGAAGCAGCATCTAAAGAGATTAAGGTTTATGCACAATAAATTTCTAATACAAAGACAATCCCATAATATCGCCAGCAAATATATAGTACATTTCAGTTTCACATATAATATGCAGAGAAAATCACTCACACATTTCGCATTCAAGATCAGACTCAGCTCACACCAAACAAAAATAGATAATGGAATTCATAATCTTTCAACAATTCTCACAGTTATGGATAAATTCAAAACCAGTCAAAGCATATGACTATTACGGCGAGAATTACCTTGGGCGCAACAACGGTAGCAGCTTGGACGACGAGAGCTCTGAAGGACGACCTCTGGTTGATTCCGGCGAACTTCACCTGCCCCGCCGCCGCGAACTTCACCGACGATGGCCTGAGTCCTTCGAACGCCGGAAAACTCCTCGCGGAAATCGAGGACGCGGTGAGCTGAGCACTTGCCATTTCCAACAAGAAGAAGAAGGGAAAACCTACTCTTGAATCCCAAAATCAAATCGTTGTAAGAGAAATGGAAGAAATGGAGAGAATTTCAGCTGCTGAAAACCAAAAAGGAAGTGAGGAGAATTACCTTGAAGAGGAAGAGGAGGACAAGGAGCGAGAAAGGAAGGCTTTTTGCTGGAGTGCAGAGAGAGAGAGAGAGAGAGATAGAGAGAGGATAAAAACCCTTGTGTTTTGCCCTAGTAGGGAGAAGCAAGTGAAGGTTTTAATATCAAACGATAAAAGAGCTTTCTAGAATATAGGCGCAACTCAAGAGGCATTTTGAGACGAGCTATCACACACACACACACTCACTCCGAGTCCCACGCGCACTTTTCCCACTTGCTTCGCTCACTGCCCCAATCCAATTTTGCTTTCTTTTTCTTGGCTAAGCATATGTTTGGTTCGCTGTTTATTTAAAATTTTTTTTTGTTTAAACAGAACAATTCAAACTATATAGTTTAAATTATAGTTTGAATTAATGTTAATATATGTAATTAAAATTTTAATTTGAATAAGAAATAAAATTTAAATTTGTGTTTAATAATTATGAAATGTAGAGAGAGTAAATATATTTTTACTTTCAAAAATGGTTTAAATGATTGAATTTAAGTGTGAAATAAACTTTAAGTTTGACAATTTTATTTAATTTTAACGAGAAATATAATTTAAACTTTGTGCTTACTAAACACAAATTTAAATTATGATAATTATTTAAACTGAGTTCAACAAAACTAAACCAGTAAAATAAACTAGAGGTAAATGCATTAACGTGTTGTCTTTAAATCCATAGATTCTGTGACTGAGTTAACAAAAATTGTCATGGGTTGATAACAAAAAAAAAAAAAAAGTAATACGATTGTAAAATTAAATTTCTAATGTTTAAGGTTAACTATTTATTTTTTTTATAATTAATTACATATTTATTTATACGTGTATTTTTGCAAGTATAACATTAGTTTAAGGGGATGTCTATGGTAGGGGACTTAACTTTTCCTACGAGAAGGTGAAAAACTTAAGTCATCAGATCAAAAATGTTTGACATGGTGTTGTCCATTAAAAGTAAAATTGATACAATTACATTTGATTACTCTCTTCTTTTCAAATTTGACAATTATAATATCACCCCTTATATTTTATAAAATACTAATTGTTATCTAAAGAAATCTGAACCGTGAATCTAAGCAAAACTTTTGATCTTAGTCTTGATTGCCAAACTTGTATAAACCCTAACGCTTTAATTTCAGAAGCCTCCATCAGCTTCGTGCCGCCGCAGCCTCTATCAACCCAGCTTTCCACTGAGGCTTCATGTGATCGCCATCCTCCTGTCGCACCCTCGCCGTCTCGCCGGCCTCACTCCGCCCGCGCCCTCCTCCCCTCACCCTCCCCTGGCTTCATGTGATTAACGTTGTACCAAACCAAGAAATTGACAAAATGCTAGTAACGTGAACATTGTCTTTTTATTTTTCTGTTCTTTTTCCCACTGTGATTTGTTTAGTGATATTTTCATCATAATGGTCAGTTTCATTTGGTATTCAAATGGGGTTTTCTCTTATTTCATTTTGGTTGATCACATTTAGAAACAAGGTATTGTGAAAATTAATGAGAAGGATAGATTCTCATCAGCAACTTTCGTTGTTGATTTGCCATGGTTTTTTTTTTTCTTGAAAAATGTTTTTGTCTGCAGAAATTTGGTTTTATCAGAAATATAAGTTATTTTCGTTATTATAGAAAAAGATGGGGGCAAAAATATATTTTGATAGAATGAGGGTTCTTTTTGTAATTATATTCATTATGTTTGGGGTTACAATCAGATGTAAAAGGGAGCCCATAGACCCTCTTTGAGATTACAGGGTGTTTGGTATGAAGATTCATGTCATCTTTTGAATCATCGTTCGTGACTCGCTACAGTATTTTCTCTCATAAAAAATATACGTAAATAAAAAATAATTTTAAATTATAATTTTAAATTTATAAACCAAACGTTAACTTATCATACCATAAACACCCCTTAGTTTAAATATAAACAAGCAATTAATAAACATTTTTTTTCTTTTTTTTCTTTTCTTTTATTTATTATACACATGCTCCGTTAAAATTCAAGGTACACAGTGGTAATAGTGCTGAAAATTTGAGGAACACGTTTTAGATTTGTTAAATTGAAAATCACGATAACAAACCACGCGCTTTAGAAGACCATGACCCTGCATAATAAGTTGGTTAAGTTAGCCAACGGCACCCTATGGATGATTCTGGACGCACGGGCAGGCCTTTGTGGAGGCGATGAACTAAACTGGGCTTTGTTAATGTTTGTCCAATCCTAACTGGACCTTAGTAATAGAAGAGCCCAACCTCTTTACACGAGGGTGAATCAGAGGTACTGCTTGTTGGTAGTTTTTGAACGAGAAAATTGTTCAACTTACTATTAGAGTGCATACCTCTAAATTTTTATCTTTTATTTTTAATTAATATCTTTTTTATTAATATAGATCCAGTTCGTGTCACTAGTTCAAATTATAGCTTAAATTTTTGCTACAACATTTTCTTTGACATGAATTCACTTTTTAACTCAAGTTCTCAACTCGAACGAACGAAACGAGCAAGGCAATAGTTATTTGACTAAAAAAGAATACTAATCAGCGTAAAAATCTAAATCCACGCACTTTGATTTTTGTCTCCTTTTCCCGAGTTGGATTTCAAACATACTTGACCCTTTTGATCCATATTTGCACAGAAATACAAATTTTTTGTACATAAAACACTCGCCGTGTGTTTATTTTATAAGTTTAAACATTTGTTGCAATGTTTGCTCTCACAAAATTTAAATTTTTGTCCAAATTTTTCTGTTCAAACTTATGAACTAAATGAGCTCTAAATAAAAAAAAGGTTTTAACTGTGATTCAAATCCCCAGTTTGACTAACCCCAGTTAAATTTTACATTTTATGCTTGATTTCTACATTCTTTTGGTTCACAGTTGATTTTGATTAAAAATATCAAAAAATGTCCTTGAAGAAAATAAGATAAAAAATAAAAATCTAAAACTCATTTGCAAGCAAATGCAGTCAAGACCTACACACGACTAAGTCTCAAAATGTAGTATCACAAAAAACTGAGATATAAAAAGATGAGAAGGATACAAACCCATAAGTGGACTGTAAGAAATAATCCCAGAGTAAATCATGTTATATCCATGAGAAGAAGAAGTAGAAGAAAGAAAAAAAAATGACAACAAAAGAAGAGGAAGACAAAACGCAGCGTTTTGTCTAAATCAATTGTTATCAGATTGCTCCATGTGTCCAAGATGATGCAGACTCTACTTTACTCTTCTAACAGATCATATATATATATATATATATATATGTAAGAGATTAGAATTAGGGTTAGAGTGTCGGTTAAGATCAGAAAGAGCTTTCTTCTTGTATTCGAGAGGCTGGGAATGATTTA